TTAAAGAGCAATTAACGCGATCACCGGAGGGTTGGTAAGAGACCGGGCTTCCATGGCGTGGAAATCATCCACCTCTCCCATCAAACAAAACAGGAAGCATCAGAAGGTTGGAATCTTTAGAGCGACGATTACAGCGAAAGAAATTAACTGAAGATTACAATGCAGTAATCCAAAACCAAAAGCACAATGGCACAGTTGAACCAGCAACTAACGTAGCAAAAGGTAATGAATTCTACATACTTCAAAGACTTCTGATGCAAAAAATAATCTTCTATTTACAGGAAATATAGCAGTTCAAAATAAGAACAAAACATTTTTGTTTCGACGTGGAACTTCTATAAGCATAACATGGGAGCTTAAAGTTTCGTCCCCGATTACATTACATTTGTGGGTTTTTACTCCCCATGGCTACTCTTCCAGTAGAGATCTTGCAGAAACGAAAAGTGATGGCAAAACTGTATATTATCGTCATAAAACAAACTTAAAATTTCACGTTTACAAACCATCAACATTAGAATTAAAAAATATGGATAGCACTTATAATGGGGAATACACACTAAAGACTTATACCGCAACATAATGGGGTGACATTTGATGCCTTTGTCACCGAGCTAAAAAGACGAAGTGCACAATGTGAATTTGGCGACCTTAGAGAATCACTCATCAGAGACATGATAGTAATCGGGGTCTCAGACAACCCGCTTAGAGAGCGACTGTTAAGGACGGAGACTTTGACTCTAGAAAACGCAATAAAAATTGGTCAGGCATCAGAAGCAACAAGCAATGACATTAAGCAGACCACACACCGGAAACCAGAACAATGTCGACGAACTACGCACGAAATCTAACAAAACAAGGCGCCCACGACAACAAAGCACATCTACTTCAGCATCTTCGCAAGCTCGCAGCAATTGTAAATACTGTGGCGACATTCACCAACGAGGAAAATGTCCTGCATATGGGAAAACATGCTCAAAGTGTCATAAATTGAATCACTTTGCCTCTGTTTGCTTATCTACGTCCCGCAGCGTACATTATACCACGGAAGGTCATGAAGGTCACGATTACGAGATGGCAAGCGATGCAAATAACATTTTCATAGGAACTCTCTCAACGGAAGTGACAGACAACTTCGTCAATACGGCTAATATCACACAAGATGGAAATTGTGACTGGATTATCTCTCTGCGATCAAATGAAAGTGTCACGCGGTTCAAAATTGACACTGGAGCTCAGGCTAACGTCATACCAATGATGGCAACAATTGAGAAACTAGCAACTAGACCGCATATTGAGAAAACTAATACAACGTTGACAGCATATAACGGAATGAACATTCCAGTGGTTGGAAAATGCACGCTGGACATTCAACATAACAATCAAACCCACGCAATACCGTTTGTTGTTGCAAACACTACTTCACCGCCACTAATTGGGTTACAAACCAGCATCGACCTCAATCTTATAAAGCGAGTTTGGACCGTAAATGCTAAAATACCAAACTTCATACAAAAGTACAAAGATGTTTTGGAGAACTTGGATGCCTAAAGGGTGAACATCACATTAGCATTGACCCCAATGTAACGCCAGTAGTTCATCCACCTCGAAAGATTCCAATATCACTTATGGAACGTCTCAAAGCTGAGTTAAAACGCATGTGCAAGCTTGATGTCATAGAGAAAGTTGACGAACCAACCGATTGGGTCAGCTCCATGGTAGTTGTAGAAAAAGACAATGGCCAGTTACGTATTTGTCTTGACCCTAAAGATTTGAACACTGCCATAAAACGTCATCACTATCCTATGCCTACAGTGGACGAAGTCCTATCCAAATAGGCGGCGCCACCATATTTACAAAGCTTGACGCATCCAGCGGTTACTGGCAAGTTAAAGTCGACGAAGCCAGCTCGAAACTACTTGCATTTAACAGGCCATTTGGACGATACTGTTTTAAAGCGCCTAGCGTTCGGGATTCACAGTGCCGCTGAAGTGTTTCAGAAGAAAGTTGCTGAAATCATTGACGGTGTACCGAATGCGGCAAACGACCAAGATGACATCATAGTCTTTGGTAGGAACAAAGAGCAGCACGACAAAGCACTAAAGGACATACTCGACAGAGTAAGAGAGTCTGGACTTAAACTGAATGAAAAGAAATTCCGCTTCGGGGTTTCCGAGACAACCTTCTTAGGACATGTAATCACTGCAGCAGGCATTAAGCCAGATCCTAGAAAAATAGAAGCAATAATCAACATGCCCATGCCTAGCAACAAAGTCGAAATTCAACGTTTTCTCGGTATGGTGACGTACCTCGGAAAGTTTTTACCGCGCCTATCTGATGAGACAGCGCCGCTAAGACAACTACTTGAAAAAGACGTCGTCTGGCATTTCGAAACGAAACACCGTCAAGCCATAGAAAATCTAAAACACCTCGTCACCAGCAGTCCAGTGTTAAACTACTTTAATCCAAAACATGCCATAAGGATCACAGCTGACGCCTCTAAATCAGGTCTTGGTGCAGTACTCGAGCAATTAGAAGAGAACACCTGGAAGCCCGTCGCATATGCTAGTAGAGCAATAACCCAAAGTGAGCAAAACTACGCACAGATAGAAAAAGAGACATTGGCAATTGTGTTTGCATGCGAGCGCTTCCACGAATACACCTACGGCAGACCAATCACGGTACGTTCAGACCACAAGCCACTCAAAGCAATCTTTTCAAAACCACTATGCAGGGCTCCTCCACGCTTGCAAAGACTACTGCTCGGGCTCCAGCGATATGAGCTAAGTGTTGACTACACACCAGGAACGGACATTCCCGTTGCAGATGCTCTTAGCAGAGCATACCTGGAAAGTAAACCCACACCAGAGATATCGGAGCAAGACATGAACTGTCATGTGCACTCAGCTCTGCACAACCTGCCAGTATCAGATTTCAAGCTACTAGAATTTAAACTCGAGACAGCTAAGGATCCTACTCTTCAAGAGCTGAAAAACATAACTGTCAATGGTCTTCCATCCAACAAACAACTCATCCCTGATGCTGTCAAGCCATACCTGACATTCATCGATGAAATATCAGAAGCTGAAGGAATACTCCTTAGAACAAACCGCATCATAGTACCCTCCTCAATGAGACGTGAGATGAAAGCAAGAATTCACGAGGGGCACTTAGGAATTGAACGATGCAACTCATCCCTGATGCTGTCAAGCCATACCTGACATTCATCGATGAAATATCAGAAGCTGAAGGAATCCTCCTTAGAACAAACCGCATCATAGTACCCTCCTCAATGAGACGTGAGATGAAAGCAAGAATTCACGAGGGGCATTTAGGAATTGAATTGATCTTTTGGCCAGGGATGGCTACAGAAATATCTAAGATGATTTCCCGCTGTGAAACATGCCTAGAATCAAGAAAACGACAGAACCACTTATGCCACTACCACCAGATCATCATCCCTGGAGCAGAGTAGCATGTGACTTATTCTACATGAATGGCAAGGACTATTTACTAATTGTCGACTACCATACTAGTTTTCCAGAAGTAAGTCTACTTTCAGAAACTACCTCTGCCGGAATAATCAAGCACACAAAGTCAATATTTGCAAGAGACGGTATACCAGACACAGTCGTCACAGACAATGGACCACAATTCGCTTCGAAGGAATACCGAGACTTCGCCAAGCAATGGGAATTTCAACACGTCACCTCAAGTCCTGTTCATCCGAGGTCCAATGGCAAAGTCGAGCGCACAGTACAAACAGTCAAGACCCTCTTGAAAAGCCATTAAGTCTGGTGATGACCCATACCTAGCCCTACTTAACTTCAGAGCCTGCACAAGCCCTTACGGTACTCCAGCTCCAGCAGCCATGTTAATGAATAGGAAACTAAAGACCCGCCTACCCTCAATAGAGACCCAAGAAATCTCCAAGAAATCTATAATACAGAAACAGTACTACGATAAGCATAGAAAAAATCTCCCTGAGATTTCAGATGGTTCAAATGTTCGTCTTCACGATGGCAAAGGCTGGAGAATAAAAGGACAGGTGATCCGGAAGGCAGAGACACCAAGGTCATATATCGTTCAAACTGACACCGGAGGCCAATTGCGAAGAAACAGGCATGATATATTAGTCACTCCTAAACCTGCTGAAAATTCCCAACCAGAAGAAGTTGAAGAGCCTCATGTGCACCATAGTGAGCCTGAGGACACAAGAACAACAGATGATGAACATTCGACTCCACCCAGCTACGCTTATGTGACCCGCTATGGCAGGACTGTGAAACCACCAACTAGATTCGGCCAAGATACCTAAGTTACTTATAGAACATTGTCACTTAGCTAATCCAACATATAGATTACAATCTTGTTACAGTTAAGTGTTAGATTAATCTCAGAAGGGGAGATGTCATGAGTTATTGATTAATTTGTAATTCGAGTTGTCGGAATCCAGTCTAATAAAGCACACGAAGCACAATCATTACAATCACAACTTAAATCAGAACCTAAATCCCTTCAAGACGTTGCGTTATTTGCTTTCAAACACAAAACGTCTTTCCAACGGTGTGCAAGGCGTATCAACTATTGCTGGCCGCTCCAGTGTCCGTGGCAAAAGGTGTTTCAGCAAGCTTAAGATTGTCAAAACTGCCTGAGATCCACAATGAAAGATACGCGATTAAATGACTTAATCGTTCTTGCATGTGAAAAGATCTTACGGACAATGTTTACTTAAATATTATTTTAAAAATTGGGCAACTGCAAAGATGCGAAAACTGCCATCAAAGATATAATAGTATGCTGAAGTGCGTTCTGCCACAAAAATACAACATGTATTACAAAATATATAGTGTAAGTACTGTTCCATAGGATCTGCAGGGCATCTTATGTCCTTGCAGGGCAATTTCATCCCCAGCCCCCATTAAAAAGGTGCTAGTTTCGCCCCTGCCTACAGTTCCTCCACTCCTCGCTAATGTCTAATAGAATTATAATTAAACTTTGACTTAAGGTAAGTCTCGTATAATTTCCAATTGGTAACAAAGTGAGACACCTAACGATCACACACCTGAATGATCATAGCATGACCTTAAGATGGAGTCTGTTTTTAAAATTACTACCAAATAATTATTAGATGACAAGGATTGTTTTGGACAAATTTGGTCAATATTGTGCAGCTACATTGTAATGAATGAAAAAGTGTCCCACTTCGCTCCAGGTTACGCTAAAATATGACGGGAAAAACGACAAAAGTGTTTTATGGCTAATGACGAGTCACGGTTTTCTAATATGTCTAATCAAAAACAATTGATAACTGTTGATGTAAGAGACAAGTTTTAGCTCTAGAAGCTGGATTTCTTTGTATACGATTCAAAAATAAAGTTTGAAATATTAATTGCAATTCTAAGAAAAATACCAACATTTACCAATACACAGGAAGATAAAGAAACAAAAACTCAAATTAAAGTGTTGAGGAACGAGTTTCACTAATCGGAGCGCACATCGTCATATTTGACAGATAAGCAGTTTATAAGAAGACAGACATATTAAAATAGTCTTATCACTTCAGCACTTTCAGTTGGTCCGCAAGCTTTGCTTTTATTATTTAAATGTACAGCTTGGATCGTGAAAATGAATCACCAACGTTAGAGCTCTACGGTTATAAACGTTTCTTTTTTATCAAATTCGATTTCGGTCTTTTCCCTTAACGATTCTGACGATGAACTTTTGATTGAAACTCAAAAAAGAGCCGATCACCAACCGTTGTTGGAGTGATTTTTAATTTAATAAGCATGCATAAATATTGCACACAAAAAACAAACTTTTGTTTCTTAAAGTCTAGCTTGGAATTATTTGCCGCGACTTCATCGAAATTTCAAATCAGAAAATGGTCAAACCATGTTATAACAATTATAGCTAATTAGCTACGAACAATCACCCATAAACCGGAAAAACGGCAAAGTTAATTCTCGCTACCTTCGGCAATCTTTGTTGTGTATTTACAACAATACTAAATACACGACGATAAAAACAAATGGCGAAAGAATAAATTGACCCGCTTTGTCAAAACCATACAAAGGGAAAATATATAACAGGTGCATCTAACTTCGAATCCTACCTTCCCTGCCAGCCAGCGAGCGGGAAGTTCTGCACGACCAAGATACGTTTTGAAATATTCCTAATTTCCCTTTTGCATTCTACAAAATTTAATGCAACATTATAGGAAGCTCATAATCGCACCGAAAAAGAAAAGAGCCAACTGCCTAACCATAGCTCAATATACGTGTACGATATCTCTCGAGCAAGCATGAACTAAAAACTCAACGAAAATTTTAAAATTCCACAAAGTGCCTCATTACCTTCTTAGTTTTTCTCCAGCTTCCTAATTTTTCTAATTTCTGAAATATTGTGAATAGGCGGAAAGATTTTATGCCTTCTTGTATTCATCACAGGTTACTCTACTTTTTCACTTCTTGCACATTAAATACAACGACAGTTGCATATATTTGTTTCAACAGCACTGGCGACGAAACAATCGTAACAGTTGCATGTGATCTTATATTAAATTAGGCTTCAAACACGCAGACCAAGAACTGTCAATGGTGATGAAGGTAGATAATCAAAATGAATACAAGTGTTCAGTCCTCTATTTCCCAACAAACGTTTCTAAAATGGATAATTCAAATAGATGTAGTTTAAATAAATTAATGAAGAGAGAAAATGTATGTTGTTGGCATCTGACAAACCTTCTTCAACTGATCTATCGAACTCAATAAATCGCTGTCCATTATTTTCTTTATGCTTCTCACACAACTGATATTACTTGCCGTTCTATCATATTCATCATTTAAAGAAATAAGCCTACCACAATAAAGTGGTTTGAGTTATTCCCATTAACTAAAAATCGTATGATAAAACATCAGTAAATAGTTGTTTCTATGTTTGTTGTTCCGCGCAACTTCGACGTACGTAGCTAATGGAATAGACTATTGAGCAGGATCAGATACTAACCCTATGAAATACAAAACAGGAATAATACAATTAGAAAATAAAAAGCCACTGGAAAATTTAAAATTAGCAGTAATACCTTGCATGAATATGTATGGGGATTAACACACGTTCATACAAAATGCTAGAGATCTTTTAACACCAGTTAAATTGCTTGTTTTTCAGTTGTCACTTCTTCCACCCGCATCAATGATGCACAAATGCAATTATTCATCATCAAATCTCAAATAGGTCTTGTGAACAAAACAATCTAAGGAAAATATGACGTAGATAAATTCTTATGCAGCATGGCAATGCCACTCCACGTAACGACGGTTAATAATATAGCCAGGGGTACCAAACATCTCTAAATAATGACATCTGAATAAACCCCAGAAAGATCTGCCATTTCATTTTGGAAAGCTGCTACCGTTCTCAACCATTGATATGACGATGATATCAACCATTTTTCTGCAAAACAATAGGCACATACCACAAATTAATTTCTTGGGTAAATCAATTAATAAAGCTTTCGTATGTAATACATTCTTGATGATTACCAAAACATTTATTACATAAAAAGACCAAGCGGAGATACAAACTTTATTAGATGATCATCATGCCTCAAACACAAAGTTAGATTATTTCAACTAACTACTCACCAATTATTTATTCTATTTTGTCTTCGCGACTCTTCATAATTAACGTGTTTGCTTGTTTCTTCGTTTTGAAAGAACTTAGTGATTATCATCAATAATGAGTCGTTGATATGGTCAAAATGGCGACTGAAGTTCACATTCTAGAGTAGACGTTTGCTTTGCTTTACTGGTTCTTTTGCTTCAATGTATTTTTTCTTTCAACCTGGAAAAGTCAATGAAGAAATAACTTGAATAAAGATAACTGCTAATAAATCCACAATGGCTGTAGCTGTTAATCAAACATGAAAATATTTGGATGATAATGCAGCAATGTAATAAGTACTAAATAAGATAATACAAAAATATATTCATTTGTGGTTGCAATATGGCCAATTGTTGCGACTGTAATCTTTGTTGGTGAAATTTTTGTTTACATGAAATGTACTGGGATAGTTTCTTTACAACTCTCTGTTATACCTCAGTACACGGTTTAACTTTTCTAAAATCTAAACCATACTTTGTCTCACATCACTACCAACTCACCCCACATCAACTTATTTAAACCCAATAAAAATAATTATGAAAATCAGTCCATGTAGCAAATTGACACAAAATTTTACAAATTCTTGTTTCTATATCGCTTGATTATTGTTAATGAGGGCTATGAAGGAAATGGATCATTAAAAAAAATATTTCTAATTTAATATTGTATGCATAAGTTAAACGAATATTTATTCTTCATTTTCTTGTGGATTATTCAGAAAGTGTTCACTTAATTAAATCCTTTGTGATTGTCTAGGTAATATTGTTACCTTGTTTAATTGCCATTCAAACTTTGTTCGAATAGTGTCCTTGCTGGTATGGAAATGATTTACTCTACTTCCAATTTACTTGAAACTAATTTAAAAGTGTTTGAATTAGACTACTCCTACTAAACGTCAATGTTATATACATGTTAATAACATTCTAAGCTAGATTTGTAAAGCAAGGGAGGTTGTTCAAGATAACCGTTTAGTTGGTGTGGTATGTTAATCTTATACAAATAAAAGTTCATTTCAAATTTGCCACATAAGATTTGGTCATTGCCAAACAAACAGGTTGCTAAAGTTGAATTCATCCACAAGCTTTTTTCCAGCAATTTTTAAGTTATATGTGCGTTTCCTTCTTAGACTAAATCAGCTTTTTCTGAACAACATGAAAATAACAAATTTTATGAAGAACATGAAAAATTTGCTGTGCGCATAAACAGATAGACTTCAATTTTGTTCAAATCAATTCCATAAGTTCGAATTAATATTACAAAAAAACATTGATATGTTATCTACCACTTGTTTAAAAAAAAATCTTAGGTCTCAAAAGCCACTTTAGGATGAAGGCCAAGGAATTTTTCAGTACTTAAGGACCCTTTGAGAAAGCTCTTTGAACAATTTACATGGCTTTTAAATCAATTGTACAAATTTTAATTTCAATTTGCAAACAAATTTATTGCAAAAAAATAACAGTATTGGACCACAATCAAGATATTTTATAGAGCTGCCCGCTGTGCCAGCCAATCACTATGCATGAGTACAAAAAATAAATGTGGAAACCAATGATTTCATGATCAATCTCTTATAACAACTTTATAGCCAACTAAGTGCAGTATGTGGCTGTACTAAACAGTCTTTAAGTATAAATAATATGATACTATAATACAGTGGGCTTTCAAGTACAACTTTAAAAACACATGACAAATTACGACAGCCTTGGGAAATGCTCAGGAGTTCCATAAAAGGCTGGCAACTGGCAATTTTTGCAAAATGCTTTCAATATTACGGTAATGGGCAATTCTCAGAAACTGTGCCTGCACAGTAACACTTTTTTGCTTCCTGCATGTGTTATTATGTATGCTAATATGTCTATTATTTACCATTTCATGTATTTTTCACTACTTTGCCTTATCAGTGTTCACTAAGTGTGGCATTGGTCAAAAAGGCCCTAGGAAACATTAAGTTTTGTGTGTCATACACATTTGCTTTTGCATCTCAGAAAAGAATAGTGAAAACATTTAAAAGCATTTGCTTTTGGATAAAGTTATCTTTAGGCACAATAAATAATTGTAAGGTCTTAATTATTGTTTATCAGTGGCGTGCGGTGACCGAATTTAATAGGCAAGCGCTGGGGGTGAGGTTCGCGGTTCGCGGCTTAGCCTGACTCAGGGCATGCTCCCCAGAAAATTTTGAATTTTGAGGGCTACTGGAGCGCATTTCCCGCGATTTCTGGGAGTATTTTATCGAAAAAAATGTATCTGTCATGACTGAAACAGTATTGAAAAAATCTAAAAAATTAAAAAAACTTTTATAGAGTATAAATCACAATTACGGTTTAAAAGTATTACATGTGGTATTGTGATATAAAGTCGTTTGTAGAAGTAGAACATAAAAGGATGAAAATTCCTATGCTATATATTTTATAGGAACATCAATCTTATTTATACCTTACATCAGTTTAATGACTACATAACGTGCGTACATTACTCATCTAGATTCATGTAATAGCAATAGAGGAAATAGCCAATCCTACACTTACTCAAACGCGCTACTTAAACTTACGCACTTAACTTTATAATAAAACGTAAAACTACTCAAATTTCAAGTACATTATCCGCTGAGTAATAACTGCACCTTCTTTAAAGTGGTACTATGACGAAAACTGAACGTTAAAAAATCATCGATTTTAGCATTCAATAGTTTAAACACATATCAATTATTGCTTTCGTAAAATTTAAGCAAAAATAATAGTATAACGAGGGAGTTATGAACATTTGAAATGTCTAATTTTCATGTCCGCCATTAAAATCGGCCATTTTGAATATTTGCAATCAGCAAAGGTCTGTGACGTCATAGTCTTAACACGGCAAGAAGCGCACATTGGAAAGTATACAAAGTAATACATAAATAGAGCAAAAAAATGTCAAATTCATCGAGATCTAGCTTGCTTTCTGAGTCTTCGATCGAGACAAACTCATCGATTTCTTTATCGGAATTCATGACGGCAAATTCGGACGAATCTAATTCGGAAATTTTGCCATTTGCCGATAATATTGAACCGCTTGCTTCGACCGATGAAATTGCGGAGTACGAAGCTGCAGTCGCGAAAGAACGGCAGGTTGAGGACATGCTGCAAGATCGTTTTGATGCCCGTGTTGATGTTACTTCATGGTAAGATGTCATTCTTAGTGTGTTACTTTGATCTGAATCGTCTGCCGTTAGCTATGATAACTTTATGGAAACATACAATTTGGCCAATATTAAAGGTGTGAATGTGGCCATTGTTCGTTGGATCTTGTTGTCAACCCTCAAGAGTGCCGATGCTGCATGGAATTAGAGCAATGCCGTGGTAAAATGTATCAGTTCGAAGTCGATGAAAGGACATGCATTTTGGATCACCCTGGCTTTAACGAAGTTTGCCTGAACGAATTTGTTCTTCAAGCAGCTTCGTTAGGTTTAAAGACCCAAGGTCATCGCATGATACAGACACTTCATTTTGTATTTCCTTTAAAACCTTAGTATAAATGTATATTATATATTGAAAGTTTGCCTGGATGTATTATTGGTTCTCTCAAATTGTGAAAATTTATCATCTGCAATATGTGTAAGTATGTAATAATTGCAACTTATGCTAACCTGACGCCGGTCTCTTGACGTTGTTAGTGTTTGTGATTTCTTCCAAATAGTAGGTACGGCACCAGGTTTGAGCCGTCTAGTCATACCACCCAAATGGAATAAACGCTCAAAACAATCATCCGAGAAGTGATTCGAACAAATCATAAATCGAATTTTGCGCGAACTCGGATTAAAGTTTGCGCGCTTCTTCTGAACAAATTTAACCCAAATTCTTCTCAAAGACTTGTCGTTTGTGCTTTTATGTAATGAAATGCCTGTACTTCTATCAGACTTATTACTGCAATCTTGCACGACACAGCGTGTTGAAGGCATGTTAAAAAAATTGAGTTATACAACCTTATAAATCTCTATTTGTATATAATGTTATATTGTAAACAGCCGCGAGTTAAGACTATGACGTCACAAGCACCTTCCTTCTTGAAAATTCAAATATGGCGCATTTTAATGGCGGCTCTTAAAGTTCAAGTTTTATCGCTACGTAACTCGAGCAGCATGAAATACATTGCGCTAAAATTTCGCCAGAAGACATTTTTTTTACATACACTATTAATCTATGAAAAAAAAACGAGAGGCAAAATTTTCGTCATAGTACCACTTTAACCAAATATATAAAAAGCCAGTAAATAAATTCTAACACATAGAACACTTGCGACTGTTGTAAATAACTTCTTCGCTAGTGAATAAAATAATCACAAAATTTAATAGCGTTCTAGTACATTGAACTCACGTTCGGAGCTTAAACGAGACTTATATTATATATAACGCTAAAATCTACCGGATACAAATATCAAAACTACTACGCAAAAGGAAGCTCTTGTCAATATCATCTTGTATTACATGCTACAGATAATATCTTCTACATACATAAATTGCAAGACAATAGGCGCGAAATGTATTGTAGCAGTCGTGATTATAACAATTAAGAACAGCCAGTTTCGCGCACAAAATTGGCACGGTGTGTTACAAACTGAGGCTATGGCGTTGTTTAATGTTTATATTTTGGTATAATGACGTCATGGCAACGTGTTCTCCCGTTCTTCAAAATGTGTCTGGCACTGACTCGTACGTTTGAGAATATCGGAGAGTCGTGTTTATTATTTAGTATCTTGTACCTTTTATTTTTAGTCATTAATTTACGAATTCAACGACACAAGACTGACAAGAGCATAGTGTTTTGGTCATAATGCTAGTCATACTTTACCACAACACACGTTTGCGTGCATTTCGATATCTCTGCAGACTGCGGCCCCTGCTTGTTTACGAACATTGTGCGCAGAAAATAAAAAAATAACCAGTAAAGCACCTACTACTTTGAATTAGAAATCAGAACATTACCTTTCGCTCTCAGTCATCTTTTAATAAACGATAACATTAACGGCGTGAATAATTCGGATGTCCAATGTGTTGAATATCGAATATTATTCGCGCGCTGATATGTGTTTAAAATTGCGAGCGTACAAGACTGTTGACCAATCGCTTTCAAGCGGCGCCCTTAGAAGCGCCGCTTGCCTTTTCTCGATATTCCTCGAATAAGAAGCCTCCAAATCTAGATTAACGCATGCGCAAATGTTCAAATTGAGCTCCGAAGGCAAGCGCGCTTGCCTTGGTTAATAAATAAGAAATTTTTAAGGTGTGTTTAATCCACTTGACCTATCTTACAAGTGCAGCAAAGTGAAACCGAAAACCACGACAGTAAATCGCGTATAAATAGCAAGCATTTCAACTGTAAAGACAATTTAGACAAAAGATTACATTGACATTGTTTAGAACAAAAAAATTTAAACTGATTTTGCTGAGAGATTGATCCAAAAAATTTTTGTTCGATAAAATGCTTAGTCAAGCGGCGCTTGCCTACGCTTGCATGACCGCACGCCACTTTTATGCCTAAAGCTGAGAATAACATTATAATTACAGTGTAAATGTTGTCACACACATGCCGCCTACTTTCCCTAATTTGCTTGCCACTTTCAAAACTATTGAAACATATGTGCTACATATGATACATATGTGATACATATTGATACATATGTGCTACTTAACTACACTAAAAGCAACTACAATCGAATATCATTTTCTTTCAAAATATACTGCATGACATACACAGTTCATGAACACAATGAACCGATTATCCTTTGCAGTAGTTATAGAATTTGTTCTCCATGGTAATTTGCTTATTAGTAAGAAAAGTCAAAACTTTCCTAAAGTTTTCTTTCTAGATCAAGTCAAAAATACACTTTGAAACCTACAATTATAGAGTAATTGAGATAGTTAGGGCGCCATCTTTTGATGAACGCGAGTATTTACTTTTCAAAATGGCTTGGATACTCGCATAATCGCCTTCGCCTCTTTCTGTTTATAACGATTAAAAAATTAATATAGCTCCGGGTCTATAAGCAGTTATCGTCAAGCATTGTCGTTTTCTAACATTCCTTCGAATTAACATCTGCCTTGGCAATATTTCTTACCTTGTGCTCGATACATTTTGATGAGTTTACCTCATCTGTTGCTTTCAAAAGGAGCCCATCGCTTCTTACGATGATGTGCACTTGTTTTTCATTGAAAGTCTTTGACACAGTTTGATTTCTTGTAACCTACACTGTTCTGTTTTCCTGATTTTACTCGAACAAGATTGAGGACAACTAACCAAGCCAACAACCTACAATAATGATGAGGAGAAAAAGGGATGGGCTGATTCCGATTGAGGCCTAGTAACTAATGCAAAACACGTCCCGAAATTTGATATGTTGTTTTCAGTACCCTGTCAATCATTACCATTACCAGCGGCATAACCACAGAATAGTGGCGTAACTGTATGAACAAAGTCAGTGGCTCAATATGGTCAGAGCTACGGACATTCAAGCAATCAGGCTACAAGGGGGCTCCCTGAACGGTGTTAACAAAGGACATCGGGATTCAGATCACTGGTAATTCTAAAATTGATGGGCTCCTTGTATTTAGGAAAATAATAAAAAGTTATGTTTCATCTTCGCTGTTTTCTAAAGGTCTAAGTAAACTCTAATAGCTACGCAGCAACATTCAACTGTGCTGGTAATAACAGCAATACAGGTATGGCGCCTAAGGAGGGCTGGAGAGAGCCCCACTTTCTCCCCGCTACCTTTATATTAACCTTTATGTTTACCTTTCTGTCTACCTTCATGTATACTTTTGTGTTTAACTTTATGTCTTCCTTTATGTTTGGATTCGTTCATCTCCGGTTTTTGTGGGTTGTTGATGGTAGATATACGACCGATAATTTCACCTCAATCCCCTTCCAGTATATTGAAATTTAATAGAGACGACAAGAACCACATTTCAAAAAAACGACATGAACGACATTTCAAAAAGTTCTTGCCATACAACAATAACATGCGCAAAGTCTTGAAAGATCATGCATGATGGAAAGTTTATGCATGATCTTAGCAAGAAGTTTGTAGGATCATAGTAAGATCTTTGAACGATCATGAAAAAGTCTTCTAAGATCTGTTGTTAGCATTTATTTATTTTAGCTTAACTTGAGGCAAAGTAAGACCCAGTAACTTTAGTAAATATAAGTCGTATGCGGACCCTCCCCCAGGGTCAATTTCGTTGCGCCGTCCCTGTAATAATTATTTTAATCTTCCCGCTCGTAAGTTACAGACCTTTTTGCTTGGATTATAATTACATGACCCATCTCAATTTCCAATTACAAAATGAATGAACCATTACCAGTCTATCAATTCATTATGATCATTACAGGAGTATTATAATTACTTTAAACAATTGACAAAAAGACAATTTACAATATTATTTTATTGCATTTATCTATCAAAATTGTGTGGGGCAATTTTGACAGACAAAGCATTTAACTTAAACTTCATCTAAATAAAGTAGGAAGGAAGGGGAACTTCCAACTTTATTTAGATTGAAAATTATACTTATAGTGGAGCCAAACTATAATCTTAACTATATTACCACAAGCAATATTCACTGAACATCATTCTGGGCTGGTTTTCCTTGAACAATTACCATTAGCAGCATTATTATCATCGTTTCACTTCAATTTCACTTGTATCGGCATCTGAAAATAGAATGTTTCCAATAGATTTTTAAACACAAAAACACATATTAAACATATTTCATTTTGATGAAGTAAAAAAAAATGAAGATTTTTTGTGTTTAAATTGGGTTGTAACATATACAACACGCAAAAAAATACCGTTACCATTATTCAAATTGCTCATCGTCGGTTCTCAAATAATGGCAAAAAAGAATGTTACTAAAAGAATGTATAATCTTTGAAGATGAATCATCTCAAAAGCAATATCTGCAAATTACAACCATTTACAACGCAACGCTTCAATAATTGACACAACAAAGTCAACTCATGGTTTGAAGAGTTTCGCAGAAGCCGCATTGTCATCAAAAACAAGCATCGTAAGGCAAAAAGTGCGACGAAATTTTAGATGGAAAATATAACGAAGTAGCAAAAATCGCATATTGATACATATGTCAATAACAAAACATACCATGTTTGTTGTCCATTATCTGCTGACACAAAGTGCAATTTTTTCCCAATTACTCCATTTGCAGCCAGAGTCCATTGATTTTACTTCTTTCTAACACACTTCTTTTGCATTTGTAGCGCACCAATGTAGAGGCCTGGTGCTGCCAAGAACTTAAGTCTGTAGCTGAAAGCTTGACTCACCAGTCGGTTCTGGCAGATATGTCAACTATTCCATGTTGTGTCACTCTACACCCAGGTTTCAGACCAGTTTGTTTGGAAAAGTGGTCGCTAAAAATGGCTGCTATGAAATACAAAACCAGAGAACAAAGACGATACAGAGAAACAGGATCTGAAAACATGTATGATAGCATATTATGTTATTTCCCAGTATTTAAGTATATTTTAGTGTTATGACACATTAGTAACGATTTGGCTTTATATTCAGGTTTTTACGATGTGTTGCATACAGAGAGTTCACATCTATGATTTATGGATGCTTAGGAGAAGAAAGAAGACCATTACCAGCATGTGCATACCATGCAATAAGATCAAAATTTAATGATAAAAAGTTGGAATATAGAGGGTACGAAGAAAATAAAATAAATGAGTGATGTGAAAATTAAGTTTTCCTATTTTTTGGGCAATCTGCCACATGTTTGTGACCTTTCATTGGCTTCTTGCATGTCAAACATTTTGGCTGACTTTTTTCTTTTGAAACTGCCACATTTGACTGACAGCTGAATGGCACACTTGTAGCTGCTGGCATGAAACAAAAACATTTTTATTGTTTAAAATGATTTTCAAACCATGTTTAGCTACATGTTATATAATCATTATTAATTACCTGGAATTGAGGGGGGGACATCATTGACCACAATGCATTTTCGACGGACCTGTTTTAGTATCACCTCAGATCTGGGTTGCTTTTGCAGCATGACATTCATTGGTGGTGGGGACATTTCTTTCAAAAAATTTTGTGAATTTGATAATGCGTCTTTGTCTTTTATTGACAGCAACACACTCTCAAATAATTCATCCACATACTCTAAAAAGAAATTATTGTCGTATTCAATACTATGAAATGATGCAAAGCAACACATTTAGCAACAACTTACCAAATTTGGGCTTAACTCTGACATCCCTCACAGTTCCTTCACCATTTTTAAACTTTGGATACACCACATTTATTTGGGAACTGCCATCATTCTTTATCTTTACATCACGCCTTAAGTTGTTGTTGAAGTGGATGGATGCCAAAATGTGTCTAAAACAATAAAGACTTGTGGAAGTTGCAAAACAACTAACATTGTCATATAGGAAATTTTCGCCCACCTGCAATACATTCCAACATAGGAATAATGAATCATTTTTGGAGCAAAATGATTCAGGACAGAATGGAATCCTTCCAAACAACTTGTTTGAGCAACTGGTGAAGCCTGGTGAATTGACTTCATTAGTTGTGGGTGTAACAATTTAGCACAAAGCTTTTCATGGGCAACTGAACCTTAAACATTACAACAAAGAATGATGATAAACTGTTAGGGAAGTTATCTTTAAATAATGCCTTCACAAACCTTCTAACAAATATTCCCTTGGTTGAATATCAGGGCCATGAAAACAACTTGAAAAGAGTGGATCATCCAAATTGGTGTGCTTGTCTACTATGTGACTCAGGAAAGATTTGAACTTTGCCCAAATTACTTTGCCATCACCATCATAAGTAGAACAAGCACTCCAATAGAAATGGTTGCCACAGGGTTTGACCCACTTTTTCAATTCTTCACAACCTTTTTCTTTGCTAAGCTTTGTTATTATTTTGGTTAATTCTACAAAAATAGTACCATTAAATTGGCCATTAATGACATGCAAATCCATACTCCTCTCAAGATTTTACATCTTAAATTCAGCTTACTTTTTTTTAGATGCCATAAATCAAAATAGTGCTTCACATGTGCCATTTTCTCCCTCATATGTTTACTGATAGATATGTGTCTATCAGATATAAATGTTGATAATTGTATGCCACTGCTTTATAGCAATTCCATGGTGTTTTTAAATGCCATGTATTCCATAGCAGGACTACTGCCAGCTTCATTTCTCTAGAATAATTGAAGTTGAAATTAGCATTTTCTTCTCTACTTTTATTAAACATGTGATGTAGTCATAAACCTGAACTAAGGAAAAGTGAATAATGGATGACGTGGAACAACAAAAGACGGTATAGGCACAGTACTTGGCACAATGCCCCATACTGTCATGACGACCATCACCTGCCAGAACAACTGATCCACATTCTTTAGTTTTTTTCAGCAGTTTCTGTTGGTACTTTCTCCAAAATATAAATATTGATGGGAAAAGAATGTTCTATAAATGTAATTTAAAATATTAGTCACCCTTTAGATCTGCAGCTTAAACCAAAAAAACATGCCATACTTGCTGATGTCTAAAGTATGTTGGCAGTGAAATAACTTGCAGTCCCATATGCTTCATTGCTTGAAATGTTTTGCTAGCTGAAGATCCCACTAAGACTGCAAATGAAAGTAGAAAGTTTCCAGCTGCAATCTTCGTACCAGGCATCAATGGCTGACTTTTCCAAACAAATTCTTTACGACAATCAACATTTTGCACATGGTTTTATGGTCACCATTGTTCCACTTTGACAAACATGAACCACTGGATTTTTTCCATGACAAAACATGCATGTTTTAAACAACAGAAGAAGCTGTGTCAAGAAGACAATGTATTTCTGCTGCTTTTGCACATTGTCAGAAGTGTTGATTCTAAAGAACAAAGAAGTAACACCAAATACTAATTAGTGTGAAGCCAGAACAATGTTTCTATTTAATATATATCTTACATTGGTTCTGAGTATTCATCAGCATCATGAACACTCTCACTATTATCAAAAAAATTTTCATCATCTTCTGTGTCATCAGTACTTGTTTCCATTTCAACATCAAAATCATCACCATCAGAATCATCATCATCCACACTGTCTGTTTCCCCATCTTCCAGGTTTGAGCTAGGATCAAAGTCACTGCGTGTTGATGAAGTATTTGCAGTGTTAATGCTGGAGTCCCTCTCAACTGCAAGGATGAGAATAAAATCAGAGCAATGAGAAACATGATACATTCTAAATATTTTGAAATTGGCAATGAAAGCACACCTTCTTTTCTAAGTTTTTTTAACTTGTGTTTTGCTGACAGCCATTGCCCAGATAATCGTTTGTTCTGCTTTCGCAGATTGTAACAACCAGAACAATCTGCAGGCAATGTTTGGGTGCCAACTGTTTGATGGGTCTGTAAAGGCGTTCATGTACTTCAAAATATATTATCACTTTATAACACTGAACTGAATTTAAATACCTGTTCTATTTTATCGATTTCAGCCAATTTAGATGCGGAGGTTAAAGTGTTTTCAATTGGGAGTTCTTCTGCAATCGTTTCTGTGATGATTTCTTCTTCGATGAAATTATCAGTTGAAGTAGAGCATGATTCGCTCACCAAATCTTTTACCATCTTTTTAACCTATATACAGAATGAAACATTAAAGAAGCAACAAATAATTGCGACATGCATATCACTAACAAATCGCTTTTCATTTGCAGATGGTATCTTTTTACTTACCCGTCATTTCTCTCTAGGTGTAGGATTTTTTGGTTCATCATCTTTTAGAAATATTGTTGGATAAGCGGTGATTCCAAAATCATCTTTTTTCAGCCTTGGTGTATAATTCTTCGTCCCTGGGATTTCTACCATGTATTTTTCGTAATCCGCATCAGTAAAATGAACGGAACAAACAGCCGAATACTTAGTCGGTGTCCATCGAGCGCGTTTTCTTGCAACAAAATTCACCCAGATTTTACGTCTTCGCTTCGCTTCAGGACGCTCATCACCGTAAAATGGTATACGGTGAAGAGAAATTCCTTCCGCATAATTTGCTCGTTTTGAACAGCCGAAAACTGCACATCTATCAGGCATTTTGATGCAGAGCCGTAGTAGATGAAGTAGAAATTATAGTAAAAATCACACTTCGGAAAAACTTCCTGTCCTTATGTTACGTCACATACTTCTCGATTCAGGCTCTCGTCAAGCAAATTGAACGCGCAACAATTTTCGCCATTATTGCCGATTTTCAGAAAAGAAACGCATTTATCTCATAAACGAAGCCATCAATAAGAAAATTGTAAAATAACTTTTATTATGATTTTTTTACCTTAATCAGAAAATTCGAAAAAAAAAATTGTGAGATAAGCACTTTAAATTAACTCTATACGCTAATTGTGAAAATACCCTCAAATTGACTCAATAAGTCAATTTGAAACGTCCATTCAAACAACAGGCCTGGTGACTTGCCTGCCTGGTCGCAACCACGCAACCCATCATTTACCGCAATCTACTATCCCGAGAAGTTTTGGATATCCTCAATCGTTTATTGCTGCCACGCATCAGCGTGGCATATCTTGACATGTCTCGGCCCATTCCTCTACTCGACCTATATAGAGGTAAAATCTCGATTTGTGTCTGTCTGTTAACATTTCCGGGGGGGAATTTTACGGAATGAGGGGGGAAGAACAATCACAATAAGGTAGAACCTTTCGGAACTCCTGTCAGTTTCTCTTTGATTTTAAATGTCTGGAATCCGAATAGATATGCGGCCTAAACAACGTTATACAGTAGATACCAAAATCGAGTGATTACCGACATCAATTACACATATCTCGTTTGGCGAAAAACACATGAAATCGATTCACCGTGCCGTATTTAGCCAGCTCGGTTCACATTTTTTATCTTGCGCTCTATGGTCAGACGGTGAGCAAAATATAGTGTAAGCATGTATTTATTTTTGTTAGAGCTTTTATTATTACTTGAAATATCGGTGTGGATTTAACAAAACGTCAAAAATAATTTAAACGCATGGTGCGAGTTCACCATGAAATGTGAATTATGAATATGATGAAACGTTTGCTCTTTGCGATAACTATACATCATTTTATCGCAGTCATACAGAATCATCGGAAAAAAGGTTCTATCAAAATGTTATAAAGGAAATAATGGAAACAAAACTACAGTTTTATAATATAGTCCGTTTCTACGTTTGTAAACATGCGGACGATTGTTCGGTTGAGTAAACAACGTATCATACTTTTAATCAAAAGCATTTTAAAACTCAAAAGAATCAAAACAATCAAGACATTTAAAAGAATCAAAAAAATGTTTTCATTCAAAATGGCAAGGAATTTATCTTTTAATTTTATAATGAAAACGTATGACTGACGAGATCGATTGAGCATTGAAGCACTCACCTCCATATAAGGTGAACTGTGCGTCGTTTGTGCATGCCGATTGGATAGAAATTGGAATGCTATGATTAAACGATCGTGACTAAAACACCACACGAGTACATACGAGTAACATACGAGTACATACGAGTGACATACGAGTACATACGAGTAACATACAAGTACATACGAGTAACATACGAGTACATAAGAGTGACATACGACTATTTTCTGGTCAACAAATGAGAAACAACACAATTTCTTTAATACATTGATATTTGCGTTTATTTTTCCTTGTATTTGTGTGGACTTTGGGGCAACCATTTTATGGATTTAAATGCTGAAAAGGTATTTTACTTTTATACTACATTCATTTGTATGTTTTAGTCGAATTTGTTATAGATATTTTGTCGATGCGATTTGCCAGTATTTGAGCGCTTTTGAAACACTTTCACCTAGGAAATACATATTTATGAAAGCGATTAAATAAACAACGTATAAATAATGCTTTCAAAACGTGCTACATGAAATAAATGTACATTATATATATTTGAATTAAATGAGAGTTGCACTGTTACGTATAGTCCTGAGACGGACTGTTTTTGTTGTTGTTGACTGACGTTTCGACAACCTTAGCGGTAGTCATCTTCAGAGTCAAAATGAATGTATAATCGCTTTCATAAATATGTATTTCCTAGGTGAAAGTGGTTCAAAAAGCGCTCAAATACTGGCAAAATCGCATCGACAAAATATCTATAACAAATTGTAGACAAACCATTTTGTGTTCCAATATGTCCAATCACAGTCTCTTCACAATTAGAAACTGGATTTCATGAGAGGCAACAGCTGCCTCTAAGACTCGCTTGGGCTCTAACAATACACAAGAGCCAAGGACTAAAGCCCCGTCCACACGTATACGGATATTTTTGAAAACGGAGGTTTTTTCCTCCGTTTTGGCCTTGCGTCCACACGTAAACGGCGTTTTCGGTGACCATAAACGGAGGTTTTCGAATACGCTCTCCAGAGTGAAGACTTTTGAAAACGCCGGTTTTGTGTTTACGTGTGGACGGGCGAAAACGGAGGTTTTTGAAAACGATGACGTCAATAATGGAGCCCAGTCTCATGAATTTAGTCAAACGAGTACTTTTTAAAATGGCGGATCACAAGTGCATTGCTATTTTATTTGGAATAATTTCAAATTTGATAGCATGCATTAACTTGCACGTTGCAATGATAAACTTTCATGGGCAATATTTAAGAAAGCGGATGAATATCATGAAGTTGCTTTCGGTGTCACAAGATGCCACAAAAGTTTTAAAACGAGTAAAGAAAAAAAAAAGTTAGACCACGAAGATTTTGGACAAGGCCGGGACGAACAAGTGCTTGGTGGGACAACTTTGCCAGTGAAATAGTCGTTACAGAGGAATGGAGGGAGAACTTTAAGATGAGCAGAGAATCGATCAACTCTTTGGCGGAAGAATTAAGACCATACATCGAAGGGAAAAACACTATAATGAGGAAATCAGTCGACATTGTGAAGCAAGTAGCCGTCACATTATATTATTTGAGCGACGAGGGTCGTATGCGGAAAACAGCTAACGCTTTTGGGCTTTCCCGGCAATCTGTGTCAAAAATCGTCCGGAAAGTGTGTAAAGCCATAACAATTTATCTTGGTCCAAAATATATTAAACTTCCAAGGACTGAGGAAGAAGTAAATTGTCTGGTAAAAAAGTTCCATAGAGTGCACGGTTTCCCTCAATGTTTGGGAGCAATTGATGGAACCCACATAGAAATTAGGCAGCATAATGCAAACTCAACAGATTACATCAATCGTAAGGGTCGTTATAGCCTTAATGTTCAAGCTGCTTGTGATTATAATTATTGTTTCATGGATGTTGTTGTCAAATGGCCCGGGAGTGTGCATGATGCGAGAGTATTTTCAAACTCTAGTCTAAATTCTTCCTTAAAGAGTGGAAAAATTCCACCGTGCAAACGTACAATCCTTCCTGATGAGGATCCTGTGCCAGTATTCATTCTGGGAGATCCTGCATATCCACTTATGCCGTATGTTATGAAGGAGTATTCAAATGGTGGGTCAACTGTGCAAGAACAATACTTCGGTTTGACCTTGTGCAAGGCTCGCATGGTAATTGAATGTTCATTTGGCCGCCTTAAAGCTAGATTTGGAGCTTTAAAGAGAGCAATGGATATAAATATGGATGAGCTACCATGTGTCATTTATGCATGTTTTATGCTTCATAATTACTGTGAGATAAACAATGAAAAGATTGGAGAAGAAAAGGTTTCCTCTGCCATTGATCACGATAGAGAGTTTCAACCAGCTGTTGTTACTAACAATTTCACCACTGATTGCAATGAAAGTGAGGGTAAGAAAACAAGAAGGATTTTGACCAAGTACTTTGATCCTTGAGAATCTGATGTGTTTGAAAAATATAGAACAATTTGCACCAATACTTCTTGTAAATATACTTATAATAGATTGAACATGATAGCTTTTCCAAGATTGACCGTGACACAACATTGATATATTGATTTTTAATTTAATTATGTTGGAAAAGTATTATTTGAACATAATATTAATCTACTAAATTATGGAGTTGATTTAATGATATAAATTGTTTCAAATTGTGCTATTAATGCTGTCTTAATAAAAAATAAACTGTGCAAATATATTTTTGTTCTTTTTATGAATAATTGGGGAATACACCTGATTGTTCAGGGTATCTTGGCTGTAAAGTGGTCAAGTTGTATTTATCATGACCACTAACTGCGACTTGTGTGCATTGTGCATAACTATTTGAATGTGTACGTGTAAAAGGTAAAGGATTATGTTGAGGGACATGTTGTAATGGAAATGAAGTAGGCTGCATCATTGACTTCAGCATTGCAAATCCATCAGCAATAGACCCTGTCATTTGCTCCATGCTGGTAGTTAGTCGTGCCAAGTGTTGTGAATGCTCCTGATCCATTTCATCAATTTTTTCTAGCATTCTTTTCTTCATTTGCATCTCTTCTCGTGCCAATATTATCAGTTCATTTTCTGATGAGATTTTTCTTTTTTAATTTTTCTTGTTTGTATCCCCTCAGCTTAGCATCAAGCAAATTTCTTCTTTTCTTAACTTCAGACTCCTGCACTTCTTTGGAGGTCTCGATATTGTCTGTTTCTTGTGATATATCGCTGTCAAAGATTGTTGATGATGCAGGACTCGAAGGAGTTGAAGATGAATTTATTGAGTCTACTGTTATGTCTGCAGACTCAAATCCAGCATTTATTGTGGATGTAGCAGGGGATCCTCCCCATATCGCTTCACAAACTTCGAAGTACAAAAGAACTACCCTCCCATGACCACTTTTCTTTCCACTATCGACGGCTGCTCTGAATTTGGACCGTATTGCCTTGAGTTTGGTGGTTATTATTACTTTCGTAATATCTTCTTTGTTGTGGGGAAAATCTTTTCCGATATCCTTGGCGTTTTCTGCAGATAGATATTGCGATTTAAATAAATAAAGTATATCAGAGTACTTGCTCTGACAAGATTCCCAGTCGATGTTCTCAGCGGTTTGTTTAACCTTGTACTCCTCCGTAACTTTAAGGAGAAGCTCGACCTCATCATCAGTCCAAATATAACATTCGACTTTGCCTTTTCCTTTGGTGGAGCCTTTATTTGACTTGGCCATTCTAATTTTTATTCAAACTCACGAAATCAAACAGAGTAGCCCACGATGCCAAATGTAAAGATGGTAAAGAGATGTTGCTAAATAGCGCCAAAATTTGGATGCTGCAAAACTTGATGAATCGACTGACAGGATCAGTCCACAAGTTAAGGTAACCTTGAACGAATATTGATTGTATAAAACAAATAAGCTTCAAGATTACAATGTTTTTAATTCTAAGTAACTTAAGTTTGTCCAAAAGACTTATATTTTGAAAAAGAAAGTTCTTTCAAGTTAACTTGAATAGCTGCCAGTATCATATTGCTGTGATCACCTGCAAAATACATGTCAATCTGATGTTGTACATATTTTTTCTTTGACAAGTTAAATTATAACAATTTACATATGTAAATGTGTACAAGACTTTCCATCTGGCAAGTTAAACTGTAAACTGTTTACCATCAAAAAGAAGGGTATTTTTGTCTTCAATGTAAAAATTATATAATAGTTGGACTAAAACCTTTGGCATGGTTACCTTGCTGTTCCTCAGTATGTTTTTCTCGATATCACATGCTCATTTATTTGTAAAGTTTGTTAATTAGTAATTACAATATTTTAATTTTTAAACATTATTTTTTATATGTTTTGATGTACTAGAATTAGATGATACAGAATATGTTGATGTATCTTCCAAAAAATTTGTAGGTTCATCAAATATTTATTGCAAATGAAATACGAGAAGTGTTATAGCATCCTAGAGTCATAATGATCGTGCCCAACAGTGATATGGCAATCTTAATAGTTTGGCGGAGCTGGTATTCATTTGAGTGCTTGTTTTGCCATTCTAAGTTCTTAAAAAAATTGTTTCTTCTGGATTAAAACATGCATTAATTTTTTACTTCATTGTTGGCCAAGGTTTCTTAGAGCTTAAGTATATAGAAAAACAAAACAGCTCAGCAATATAAATAGCTTGTGCACCAACTTTCATTGATGCTTTCAACATGCCTAATTTTGCAGTGAGACTAAAAGTGGAATACCCAGCTTGTAAGTTGTGATCCTGCTCCATAAATTTTAGAGCATCATTATTTCATTTCTATTGAGATCTATTGTTTTAACTGTAAATGAGAACATAGGTAATCAACATAACTGGACTAAAGACGAGGGGTGAATACACCAGTGATTTTTATGTAAATTTGCTGTATGTATGCAGCATATCCACTGTGTAAAGAATAGATTTCAAAAGAAATGGATATTGATAAGGTTTGGAAATTTACATTGCAAGAGTAAAACTTGCAAGCTTGTTATGCTATGCTGTGCTGTCGTTGTTCTACAACGTCGCAATTCAAGATCGACTTTTTTAACTATATCTCACTGACTTCCAAGATAAGTATTAACGTAGTTACGCAACTGCGTTAACCTATTTGAAACATAAAACACACCTTACATACCTAAGCCAATAAAGACAGAAGTCCAAACCAACGACATGTAGATGACCAATTTCTGTTTATTAAAAAAATTAAATTTAAATTAACAAATATGGTAAGCAATCACTGAAACAAATTTTCGCTAAAAATTTCGACACATAAAAACGCCATATTTAGCGACGCATTTTTAAAAAATGACTTCGCTATTCCGTTCCTTGTCCAAATGCGTTATGGTATGTGAAATATTCATTAAGGGAAAACTGGTGGTAAAATAAAACTCTATCTTTCTTTTGTAGTCATTGAAAATCATGTTAGTTTATTGGCACATGTCAAAAGGGTTAAAAATTTTTTGTAGGCATTTGGATGGGAATCACAAACTTATTCAACCGTATCGTATTGTAATTCATGGTGGCATAGATGGGTATTCTAGAATGATTGTCTTCTTAAGAGCATCAACAAACAACCAAGCATCTACTGTAATGGAATGCTTTAGGGATGCTGTTAATCAGTACAACTTACCTTCACGTGTGCGTACTGATTTAGGGTTAGAGAATATTGAAGTTGCTCGATTTATGCTTCAATATCGTGGTCTGAATAGAGGCAGCTGCATAACAGGTACATCTGTTCACAACCAGCGTATTGAACGACTTTGGCGTGAAGTTAACTCAATTGTGTGTAGTCGTTTTATCAATATTTTGCATACCTTGAAACTCTAATTCTAGACACTAATAATGAAATTCATTTGATTGCATTACATTTGGTGTACATCCCACTCATTAACAATGCACTGCAGAAATTAAGTGAATTGTGGAATTGCCATTCTTTGAGCACCGAGGGAAATCTTAGCCCAAGGCAGCTTTGGGTACAAGGAATTGTTGCTAATCAAAATAGCGATTTTAGTGCTGTGACTAGCATTCGAGATGGGTTACAAATAGATTGGAATGAGTATGGAGTTGAAGAAGATGGCCCAGTTTCAGAATTGCAGTCAAATTATCGTGTTAGAGTGCCATCTTCAACAGTATGTTTAACAGAAAATCATGTTGAACACCTAAATAATATTGCTCAGAGACTAAGGGGCAGGAGACCAAGATGGACTGATAGTTTTTAGTTGTATTGGACAACATTCAGCAACATAGTTAGATATATTTACTACTAAAATGACTGAGCTGATCATATCCAATACAAGACTTTGTTAAGAAGCATTTAAAATGCAATAGATATAGTAATTTTTAAGTTCAGCACTAATAGTGTAAAAGTCAACATACAGTTTCAAATCTAACAAAACTTAGTTCTGTTTTATATACCCTCTATACAATTCCAAAACCTTCTTCTTGGAAATTCAAGGCTGAGTCCATATTTCTTTCAAACTCTTCATAGTTTTTTTACCTCACCAGGTAATTCCAATTCCAATGGACCTGTGTTAGCATTGGGGTAAATGAATGTATTTTGAAGAATAGTTATACTCGATGGATGAAAACCCATTGGAGGTAAGGATTTGCAACCAGTTGAAAACATCAAAACACTAGAAATTCTAGAACCTGTAATAATTAAAGTATATTAACATCATGATTTAAAGAATGTTGCCAAAACAACAACATGTACAAATTCTAAAAAAAATATAACATACTTTGTGATGAAAGATACCGAGTGAAAAACTGTTTGATGCGAATCTCAACATTATCAAACTGAACAACAGATAAAAAATCATGGAGTGTCAAAGGTGGGCAAGTACCAGCCACAAATAAGGTTTCCATCTTGTCTGGATGTCTTCTGATTACATCAAGAAGTGGGCATAAGCCGATCATCAATTGATCAATTTCAGCCTTCCTGGATAAGATGACTCCATGCAGACACAAGGACATAATAGCTTGAAAACGATTATCAATATTGACGGGATGAGGAAAACCTGACTCAACTAACAAAGGTTGAATTTCAGAAGCCAAGGTTTCATTGTTTTCTTCATCAAAAGCATCTAGCTTTTAAAAGTATAAGCCAAAGTTAATTTTCATAGTTGTAAGAGCACAAAAAAAATTGATTACTTTTCATATTTATATTAAAAAACCTTTCGCATTCATGCGTCAAACGCTAACAAATTAAGGCACTACCTTTGTTCTTGGAGCGCTGAGCACGTTCCTCCCCCCCCCCCTCCCCACTGTCAACGCCACTGACTAGTCCAGTTAGGCAAACAATCATAGTTTCACCAAGCAATATACATACTACACAAACAAAGAATCATTGTAAACCACAATGCATTTTCTTGGTTGAATAAATAGACAAACGTTGTATTAGTTTGTAATCCGTTGATTAGATATGCTTTGCGTCTTGTGGATGTATAAAATATGTGTCGTTTTGGATCAAAAAGACATTTTCTGATGCTTGCCAAAAATTTTTTTCATTAACGTATCTGTTTGGGTGGGCTAATACTTATTCAAAACTATAACAAGCTCAACTGTTGAAGGAGGAAGACCATGCAAAACGTAATACTTGAATAAATACTTGGTATTTGGAGTCAGATATTCTTACCTATTGTCGAAGTTGTACGAAGATTCTAAGAGAAAGATCATCATGTGATGGAATAATTTATCTTATTTAGCACGAATATAATTAAACAATAGGTGCGCGTTGCAATGTGGTTGACAATGATTTTTTTAATTTCGTAAGAGCACAATAGTCATTACACATTTAAAATACACGGCAAATTTATTTAGAGCAAACATGTTTCGGCATACTTTATGCCATCTTTAGTGCGAAGTGAAACAATATAGGAAGTTAACACGATAATATGTTATAGTGATAAAGCGGAAGTGTCGAGTAGTTATGAATAATTATTTACAGTTGATTAAGGTGTCATTGAAATTGGAGTGTTAGATGTTTGTGTTTGGTTTTATAAAAGAATGGAAAAAAAAACAGTTAGAAAACGGATAAAAATGATAAGTCATAATTGCTATTTACAGGTCGCAGATAGAGTTAAGATGTTTGTTAGTTGAGGTTAGGTTTAAAAATCAAAGATCATACAAAGGCAATTATAATGAATAAATCACTTACCGTTGTTCATTTTCTATAATAAAAATAACAGAAACGACTCTTAAATCTCATTCAAATTAGGCGAACATAAAACGTTGAACGCTAGAACCTACTTTGCTTTAAATAACAATAAAAGATGACAGAAAGAATGGCTCCCACAGCACTGCCAATCCCCGCTCCCACAGCACTGCCAATAATAAAACCGATGTTTGTTGGACAATCATATCTTTCTGAACTTTTTGTATTCTTGGTGGAACCTTCAAGAAACAGGTGTCAAATTATGTTTTAAAGAACAGTTTTTTGTTGCTCCACTGCATTTAAAAAAGAAATAATTCAAATACCAGTCCAATAAATAAAGTAAAACAGTTGAAACTCAAAATAAAACATTTCAAAACATGTACAACAAGACATTAGCCAAGATAAGTCTTGGAGAACACGATGATCTACAGATCTATCAAATCAAGTTTATAAAAGTTAGTCTGAGTCTTCAATGTCAACGAGCAAGACTGACAGCTGAGGCATAATTTTTTAATCCATTTTTGTGTTTTCGAAAAGGTTTCTCACATTCATTTATTCGACACTATTACCAAATTCACTTAATAACTTATAAGATATATGCAAACGTAGCTAATAAGATTTATTTTTGCAATTCTTTTGCTTTGGGATTTTATGGATAATTTTTAAAATTGCTTCCTCTAAAATATTTTGAATATAAAAATACATCCTGATAGCCATCACATGTTAGGACAAAAAATTGAGTTTTGTGACAGTTCTCATAATGACATGACATTTCAAGATAGCTAGGGAAGCTAATCAACTAAATTTCTAGTTGTGAATTTTATATTGAACATTTAAGCAAATTCGACAACTTAATTTTATCGTTTGTTTTTGCTACTTAAAACTAAACAGCTGGTGATATTACAACAGCAATTCTTTTTTATTTGCAGTAGTTTCATAGCATTTCGAACATGCTATACTTTAAACTATGGGTCGAACATTTGTTGTCTGCGAGGAACGATGTGTGGAGGCTAAAAAAACAAAATTGGATAACATAAGAAGCTTCATTCTAGAAGTTTCCCAGTTTTTTATAATTATAGCTACAATGTTATAATACATAATGATTGTACTTAAATTACTGTGTTTTGAAATAGTTGTCCTAATAAAGACTATATATCTGCGATGAACTTCAAATAATCAATTTAAATGACCACAAGTTGTGAAATTTTTAAATTAATAAGCAATTTTTATAGTTAAACTGTAAATATATGTTTCAACCAAGAATAAGTATGTGGAGATATATGCTATTTTTGATTTAACAAACTCTAATAATTCAAAGAAAAGTTCAAAAATAAATTTTGATATTAACATATTATTACATAGAGTTAAACAGTTTGTTACACAAAGTAATAACTCCAAAATTCGTGTAAAAAATGTAACAAAAATGAACGTTTGATGTAGGACCGTTTTTTGTTTTTTATTGAGAAAAATTCAGATTAAGAACACCACACAATTTTTAAAAAAAGTTTTTTTCTTACAATTGACTTTGATTTCCACAGATTTTTCATCTTTATAGTTCTTAGAAGGATAACTTTCAGTAATACATCTGTAAGTTCCACCTTGACTCAAAGTTATATTTTCTATCATCAGTTTATTTTCCCCTACATTCCAACCTTTGACAGGAATGTTATTTTCACCGAACCATGCTACATTAGCAGGAGGGCTATTAACAACAATTCTTATTTATTTGCAGTAGTTTCATAGCATTTTGAACATGCTATACTTTAAACTATGGGTCGAACATTTGCAAAACGCAAAAAAAAGACAATTTGAAAAGGTTAGTTACCGTTTGCAGAGACAAAAATATTGGATTGCGCAATTGTTGACAATGTTGTCTGCGAGGAACGATGTGTGGAGGCTAAAAAAACAAAATTGGATAACATAAGAGGCTTCATTCTAGAAGTTTCCCAGTTTTTTATAATTATAGCTACAATGTTATAATACATAATGATTGTACTTAAATTACTGTGTTTTGAAATAGTTGTCCCAATTAAGACTTATATATCTGCGATGAACTTCAAATAATCAATTTAAATGACCACAAGTTGTGAAATTTTTAAATTAATAAGCAATTTTTATAGTTAAACTGTAAATATATGTTTCAACCAAGAATAAGTATGTGGAGATATATGCTATTTTTGATTTAACAAACTCTAATAATTCAAAGAAAAGTTCAAAATAAATTTTGATATTAACATATTATTACATAGAGTTAAACAGTTTGTTACAAAAAGTAATACCTCAAAAATTCGTGTAGAAAATGTAACGAAAATGAACGTTTGATGTAGGACCGTTTTTTGTTATTTATTGAGAAAAATTCAGATTAAGAATAACTTAATTTACTGCAATACATCTGTAAATTCCACCTTGACTTAAAGTTATGTTTACTATCATCAGTTTATTTTTTCCCACATTCCAACGTTTGACAGCAATGTTATTTTCATCGAACCATGTTACATTAGCAGGAGGGCTATCAACAACAATTCTTTTTTATTTGCAGTAGTTTCATAGCATTTCGAACATGCTATACTTTAAACTACGGGTCGAACATTTGCAAAACGCAAAAAAGACAATTTGAAAAGGTTAGTTACCGTTTGCAGAGACAAAAATACTGGATTGCGCAATTGTTGACAATGTTGTCTGCGAGGAACGATGTGTGGAGGCTAAAAAAACAAAATTGGATAACATAAGAAGCTTCATTCTAGAAGTTTCCCAGTTTTTCATAATTATAGCTACAATGTTAAAATACATAATGATTGTACTTAAATTACTGTGTTTTGAAATAGTTGTCCTAATAAAGACTATATATCTGCGATGAACTTCAAATAATCAATTTAAATGACCACAAGTTGTGAAATATTTAAATTAATAAGCAATTTTTATAGTTAAACTGTAAATATATGTTTCAACCAAGAATATGTATGTGGAGATATATGCTATTTTTGATTTAACAAACTCTAATAATTCAAAAGAAAAGTTCAAAAATAAATTTGATATTAACGTATTATTACATAGAGTTAAACAGTTTGTTACAAAAAGTAATACCTCAAAAATTCGTGTAGAAAATGTAACGAAAATGAACGTTTGATGTAGGACCGTTTTTTGTTATTTATTGAGAAAAATTCAGATTAAGAATAACTTAATTTACAGCAATACATCTGTAAATTCCACCTTGACTTAAAGTTATGTTTATTATCATCAGTTTATTTTTTCCCACATTCCAACGTTTGACAGCAATGTTATTTTCATCGAACCATGTTACATTAGCAGGAGGGCTATCAACAACAATTCTTTTTTATTTGCAGTAGTTTCATAGCATTTCGAACATGCTATACTTTAAACTACGGGTCGAACATTTGCAAAACGCAAAAAAGACAATTTGAAAAGGTTAGTTACCGTTTGCAGAGACAAAGATACTGGATTGCGCAATTGTTGACAATGTTGTCTGCGAGGAACGATGTGTGGAGGCTAAAAAAACAAAATTGGATAACATAAGAAGCTTCATTCTAGAAGTTTCCCAGTTTTTTATAATTATAGCTACAATGTTATAATACATAATGATTGTACTTAAATTACTGTGTTTTGAAATAGTTGTCCTAATAAAGACTATATATCTGCGATGAACTTCAAATAATCAATTTAAATGACCACAAGTTGTGAAATTTTTAAATTAATAAGCAATTTTTATAGTTAAACTGTAAATATATGTTTCAACCAAGAATAAGTATGTGGAGATATATGCTGTTTTTGATTTAACAAACTCTAATAATTCAAAAGAAAAGTTCAAAAATAAATTTTGATATTAACATATTATTACATAGAGTTAAACAGTTTGTTACACAAAGTAATAACTCCAAAATTCGTGTAAAAAATGTAACAAAAAATGAACGTTTGATGTAGGACCGTTTTTTGTTTTTTATTAAGAAAAATTCAGATTAAGAACATCACACAATTTTTAAAAAAAGTTTTTTTCTTACAATTGACTTTGATTTCCAAAGATTTTTCGTCTTTATAGTTCTTAGAAGGATAACTTTCAGCAATACATCTGTAAGTTCCACCTTGACTCAAAGTTATATTTTCTATCATCAGTTTATTTTCCCCTACATTCCAACCTTTGACAGGAATGTTATTTTCATCGAACCATGTTACATTAGCAGGAGGGCTACCTCCTTTTTCTGTACATACACACGAAACATTGTCACCTTCATTCACAAC